TACCCTTTATTTTACCACTTTTACTATCTGTTTTACTATATTATCTATACATTTTATTGCTTATTCCTATAAAAAGAGGTAGTTTTCTCTTTTTTTTTTCTTTGTACTTAATATAACATTTTCAATTTTTGAATCTAATATTAATAGTAGGATTAATGAATCCAAATCCAATTAGTGAAAGTTTGTTTTGGAGATGACAGAATAGTTAAGAGCAATAAAATATAGTTATCAGAGATAAGCGGTACTCTTTTTGTTTTCCTTGTACTTGTTTTGGTTGAATTGTTTGATCTTCGGGCTTGTTTAATTGATAACCATTCAACCAGTATACATTTCATTTTACTGTTAGGGTTTTTTTTGTTTTGGTCGAAAACTGTTGTAGTTATACAAAAGATTTTAAACTCTTAGGTGAAATAGTTTGACTCACTGTCCTTCCATAAATTGAAGCTATACTCGCTTATTGTTGTCTCATCATCTCTTGATAGTGGTACTCATTATAGGCCTGTTCGGCAACCTGTCGCTGGCGACATCATTTTGTTAGTTCATTTAAGAGACAGCGACAGTTTCAGAAGTTGTAGGTGGTCATTAGGTGTCGCAGGTGGCAGTCTATAATCTCACCGTCACGGAGTCACTGCGACAAGATGATCACCATTTGCTAGACGAGAATCAGAGAAGATGATAGAGAGATAAGCCTTTTTATTTTTTCTGCCGCTCATATGTGCTGCTGCGTGACGTTGCCGAACAGGCCATATGTTACTACGAATTCATTTGTCAGCAGATTCATGAACAGTTTTATGTTTTGTTTACAATAACAGAAGATGTTATGGTGATTGATGTTGGTAGTATCAAACATATCTAAACATGCAAAGAGAAGAATGATAGCTAAATACTTGCGTTACATTGAATCCTTACTACTTCATCAAGGCCTCAACTGCTTTGTGTAAGGAACTACTTCGATTTGGACCTCCTCTACGTTTAAACAGCGAGTGAGGTCCCCTCCAGACTGAATTGTGGTTGTTGCTAGGGAAGAGAGTTTCACAGAGACTAAAAAGCTGCGGGTTTCTGACTTGGAACTTCTCATGGATCTTTGCTCTCCATTCTTTACGCTCCAACTCCTGCAATAACGTAATAACACAATTAACCTCAGCCGCACTTGTCGCTTACTTAAATTATAACAAAGCTCCAAAAGGACCTTTTGCTCTCGGAGTCTTTTTTCTTTCTCTTCCTCCTCATTCTGACATGATTTTGGACCTTCAACAGAAGCTAAAACAACCAACTTATCTGCAACACTAGTCACGGGCTCATCGCCAGTCTCTTCCACTACTCTATCAATCGACTGAGTCTTATCCTCTACATTAGCTTCAGTTTTATTTTCACT